ATTTGGTAACACTAATTGTGATGGTTATTGTTATTTTTTTCTAAATCGTGAACAAAACACCGCGAACTGCTATGGCTACTTTTGGCTGTACACACTCCTTCTTCTCAGTGTTGGTTTGGAACCTGCTCACAGGAGGCGTTGTAGTCGATGTCCCGCCCGCCCTTCGCGGTAGGACAGGACAGCCAACAAGGCCAACAACAGGGTTTGCCTGTGTAAATGATGATCAGCAAATCAATAACGCCTGCAGAATTGCTTTTGAACATTGCATGCATTGCACAATTACCTGGCATTAGTAAAAATCAAAATCAAACCACTTCATTTTGAAATTTTGAGATGATTCTTACGATGGAAAAGAGGGAGGGGGGGGGCAGAAGGGGAGACTGAACAGAGGGAAGTCCAAAATGCTCCAGAAAATTTGTCTAGCGAATTTGAGTGGTGTAATTTACGAGCAAAGCACGATATCGATCTTGTTGTCATGTGTATGAAATTTAAAAAAATATCTGGCTCCAAATATCCGTTTATAGACGTTCGTTACTAGTTGCCACATAGCGCCCCTTCAGGTGAACAACGAAAGCTCGTGTAGCAGACGACAGACAGACGAGAAGCGAGAAGTCCATTTTTGAGTTCCACTTTGAAGTGAACGTTATTTTATGTTAATTATTGTCACAAACAATGACTGTCAGGGTATTTCGCCGGAGCTTATGCGGCCAAATACAAGTTTTGGTTTCAGAAACTCTTGCTCGTCAAAAAATGTACGCAATTGTGTGTAATATTATCCGTTCTATATAACCTTAGAATTTCATGGTAGAATTTGTTTGTATAAATATGAATTTTTTAAACGTCCAACTATTATAGTGACACCACCTGAATATATCTTCCTCTGGAAAAACTTATATTAGTACATTTCACTCTAAAATGTTTCTTTCATTTTTTAACTCCCAGAAAAATTTATCTTTCCAAATTTTGCTATGTTTTTCACGACAATGTATTTTATTTATTTTTTATGATTGCTAGGCATGAGGTGGTCAACTCTGTCACATTCACGCATCAGCGTTTGAATATGTTTTCATCTGCGTCACACATGAAACAACAATCAGCACCAACATCATCTCAAGTTCCATCGCCTGAACCGCCACCTCCAAAATCTCCTTCAGGAGAACATGGAGGAATTAAGCAGAAGTCCTTGCATGTGACAGTGGTTTCAAGGTACATGGAATATGTCAATTCATATATAAAGATTCTGGATCAAAAATTCCCTGCTGCTATGCATGTTTATCGAATTTTCATGGTGGGCACCAAAGAATTATTAAGGTAAAAAATTATTAAATTGTTTCTACAAAGTCAATATACCACTTCTACTCTTAGTGTGATGATTTAATTTTACTCTTTTAATATATTTTAGAGATATAAAAGAGTATTTTCGACTTGTCTCTAACATAAAGTGGGACGACCAAGTTTTACGCCAACTAACCAGGAAAGAGCTTGAACTTTATCAAAGTATGCCAAAAGACATGCTGAAAATTTTCCCATTCTTGGTCCTTTCTTCTCTGCCATTTGCCAATTATGTAATGTTCCCAGTGGCGTAAGTATTATACTTAGGTTACAATTTCCTATTGAAACTTATAGGTTTGAAATCTATTTTCTTGTGTCAGGTACAAATACCCGCGTCAGCTTCTTTGTAAGCATTTCTGGACCTTACAACAAAGAGTTGAATTTGCAATGCTGAACCATAGAAAAAGGCTTTTAAATCAGAGAGCAGTTTTTCGAAGTTTACAACTACAACTGGATATGCAGGCTGTGAAAAGTGATAAAACCTTGCATAAAAAGTGGTCTCATGCTCTTGCCTGCCTTGGAAGTGGTCAACATCCTCGACCTGAAATTGTTATTCAATGTCTCCCACTTTTTCGAGGAGATCCATATCACATTGATTACTTAATGCCTTCTCATGTGGTTGGTATTTCCCATCTCATCCAGCCTCTTTACTGTATTTTCTTGCCCTCATATATATGATCAAGTAGTTGTTGGTATTTCTCTCCCAAATCAGAATGATGATTTTCGTGTTACTTTCAGAATGCTCTTTTGAGATTACATGGAATGCATTCTATGTGGCGGAGGCGCAATAGGCTTGTTCATCATGCTAGTTTAATCCATGAAATTGATTTGGCAATCCTAAGGGAAGGTGGTGTTGAAACCTTGACCCAAGATGAGATGCGATCGGTAAGAGTTACGATAAGTTTTCTTAATTCACTATCTTTGTTTGAAAACTCTTTCAAGTTTTAGAGATAATTTTTTTTAAAATTGTTGTTTTTATGTAAATAAAAGAAAGATTGTTTGTATGGTAACATTTCTTTTTTCCCCATTTCTAGGCATGCTTTTTAAGGGGACTAAACCCTGTAAATATGCGCAGTGAAGACATGTGTGCATGGCTCTCTCAATGGGTGAAGATATCAACCCAAGTTGATGAAACTAGTCTCTCTTTGTTACTTCATTGCCCCGTGCTTCTGGCATACAACAAACCCAGTAATTGGGCTTTGTTTCACTAGTATACTGCTCCTCAAAGAGGTTCAGCCCTTTAAGTCCCCACCTTTTGTTGTACTCCAAAGTTCTGCTTTACTGTGATAAATTATATTTATGGAATTGTAAATGAAAAATATTAATTTATAGTTTGTTGTGAATATGAAAGATATTTGTCCCGACAGCCGTCTCCAATTGAGGAAAGATAAGGAGGCTTATTGCCGTAAGTGGTAATTATCTATGTTCAATTTGTTCAACTGTTGTTTTGTTTTACAGATTTGATCTGTACGGTATGAAAAAAGTTATACACATGGGCAGTTAACCAATATTAATCTTTATTATGTTTCTTTTTCTTTAAAAAAAAATACAAATGATTCACCCCTAATTTTAAGACTATGAAACACCTAAGAACCAGTAAAGACCAACATAGGGAACAGCTCTTCTGATAATGAAGAGTCCACCTCAGTTGGTTAACAGGTACATGCATCTAAATAGTAAAGGCAGGTACTTGATCACAGCCGACAACAACCAATCTGATGGAAGAACCGCTTTTACTTTTCATCTTAAAAATTAAAAATGGCATTTGTGAAAGCACTTTTAGAACATTGAAGTTTCATTGTAACTTTGTACTTGAAGATTAAATATTTTCTAAGACCATCTCTATTTATGGGCATTTGACGAGTGCAAACTGAATTTATAATCTTATGAATAAAATAAAGAACAGACTGAAATGTTACAATTAGAAATTTACAAAATGTATATCAATGTAGTTATAGATTATTTATGAAATTACTGGAAATTACAAGTAATGTAGCTTAGAAACACTCTTCCAGGCCAAATTATTGTACTGATTTCACTATTCAAGAGGGATGTAAGCCGGTAATATTCCAATTTTGGTTCTTATCTGGGCTACAGCCTTCTCTTCCTTCTCGTCAAAGTCTTCATCAGATGATATAGAATTATTTTCAGAGTCAACTTGGTCTGAATTTGTTGGGTCCAAAGTTTGTTTTTTACTTTCATCATAATATCTCTTTCTCTTTTCTCCATCTTTTAAACTAGACACAATGACCTCTGAGCCCCTCCTCTTACCAGTTTTGTCAGCCTTATTTTTTCTTAAACTTTTTACTGTACTTTTTCTTAATTCATTCTGAATGTGGATCTTGGGTGTATTTTTATGTGGATAAGGGCAGTACTTACCTTTACTACATTTTCCGAGTTGCTCAAAGTCAGGACAAATAAAGACGTGCCTCTTCTTGCACTGAAACAAAATTATTGTGCAATAGCCACAAATGGAAGCTTAGTCTTCAAACCATTATTTTTTATAATATTTTGAAAGCAGTCATAGGCAACTAACAGTAGAACAGGGAAAAAATATTACCGTGTCACCAGCTTCACAGTAGCCATTCAGAAATTCACGACAAATTGCTGCATGAGCGCTGAGCTTGACATGTAAATAAGGACAGTTATCGCGAACGCAACATCCTTCAAGGAAATACCGACAGGTTGGCATTTTCTCAGGCCCTACATCATGGGAGAGCAGACAAGTTTCTGCTTCACAATTTCCCTGCAAGAATCTAGAAATAAAGGTAAATTTAATTACAAACAAGGTATTTCATATTACTACTACACACAAATGAAAGAAAGAAGAAAAAAATTCTTACTTCCTACAAATGGAAATATTTTTTGGGTTATGAACTCGCCAACATTTGCCTGCCTCATGGGCATGGCATTTTCCAAAACGTTGATAAATTAAACATGGTTGATTAATTTTGCTACGTTTGCCCCTTAAGAAAGCAATACTTCTCATTTTGGAAAGGCTAAGGAAGAAAGTAGATAAAAAGGGTAAAATAACATAAAATTTGTAAAATTTTCAAAAACTATATTTGTTGCATACCTTAATAGGCTTCTAGCAAAATGAGTATTGGTTCGTACTAATGTGTTATCACTTCTTCTGATGAAAGTAACACCACCAATATCAATTCTGGATATGGATGACCTCATTTTGCTACCATTACCAGCATGAGTAACATCACCAGGGTCACATTTCGGCCTTAATGTCGTTCCTTTGTCGTCAAGAACAAATTTTTTGCCTCGAATGTTAAGGACTTGCTCCTTTGATTCTGAAAATATTGCAGGAAATTAATATCTTTGTGTGTACATGTATGAATGAGCAAATAAAATAATTATTAATTATAACTAGTCTTAAGCCCACAACACTGCTACTACGTTCACCTGAGCATAAGAGCTACAAGAATCCCCCCCTGCAAGACCCCAATTTTCAAAAAAGAAACAAAAAAGTTGGTGCATTTTTAAAAATAGAACTAATTCTTACCTTTTGGATGGGTACGAGTGAGTGAGGTCCGTGTAGAACGATAAAGCACACCACCAATGTTTATAAGACTTCTGTTGGACGACTTACTAGATGTTAGTACATCTTTTTGTTTGTTGTTTTGATTGGGTCTAGAATGGAAACATATAAATTTCAAGTCACCAAAAAAGACAGGACATGGATTCTATGAAGTATACAAACCTTGACGGTTGAGGGAGTTTGATGACAGATTTAGTAGAAGAGAGAGCTTTCTGATTCTGCCAGCTTATGTTTCCATATGCACCCAACTTTTTTAACTTACTGCGGAGAATTTTAGGCCTTTGTTCACTCCTGTAGAATTTTACAAGACTACTTTTACGCTGTGGCTTGGAGTTATTGGAGGTGCTCACTATTGCAAATCTTGACACTCTCCTTGCTAAGTTCATTCCAGTTCCCAGAGATGTCCTTGATATTTTAAAACGCGATTTGGTGAATTGGGATTGAAGTGGAAGGCCAGGAACTGTAGCAAACAATTTTTTGACTGCAATATTTTTCTTGGATGAAAGTTTGTTTGAGGAGGATGAACGAATCAGCTTATATCTAGTGTAAACTGTCTTCGGTTTGTTGACTACGGGCTGAGATGTGTTAGGATACAGCTCACTGTTTGGTACCTTTACAAGTTTAAATTGAGATTTAGCATCTTTCTTCACACTAATAGTTCTTAAGCCACACGTTCCTGTAGCCTGAGAGACACTGATTTTCTGCGTCCATTTCAGATGACCAGAATCTAATTGTTTTGGAACAGAATCTGCAGAACTAACATCACGGACAAATTTGTAGATAGACTTTGAAGTTGAACTTGGTATGTTTTCAGATTTTTTCCTTGTCCTTTTCAAAAAACTTCCAGGAGACCCTCTAATAACTTTAAAATTTGAACTAGATGTTGAATTCCTCACTAGTTTGTACTTGCTAGAAGTATTCTTAAAGGACCTCTGTGGGTTTACAAACTGATCTGGTTCAGCTATCAATTTGGTAGAGTTAACCACTTCAAATTTAGGCATTGCAGGTTCCTTCTCAGGTTGTGAACACTTGGAAAATTTACTTTCCAAATTATTTAGAGCAATCACATTTTTCTCACTTTTACATAGTACTTGCTGATTGGATGAAGAGTCTTTCGCTTCTGAATGACTGGTTGATTCCAATCTTAGGTGTGGCAAGACTTTTGGATTCACAAAAATTGTTGTTTTTCCAGAACTGTTACATGAGGCGTACAACTGGTTTTCTGGTGGCTTCAATGTTGTTTCAGGAGCAGTTTCAAATTTACCTCGCCAATGAGGATTGATGTGAACTCTTGATCGCTGACTAGTACTTGGGCACATTTCCGTCCTTAGTGTAGTTTTGGGCCGAAAGTTTGGATTGATATGAACACGTGGTGCAGCGTTTTGAATAGCTTGCACGTGGCTGACACTACTTGAATTTTGCTCAACTGATGAATTTGAAGCGTGGTGATTTCTTAAATGATGAGTGAGGACATCAAATTGTTGAGGATTACAATAGTTTTCCTGAAGAGTATAGGTTGGATATTGGTACTGAGGTTGAAGTGTCCCATCTTCGGTTAAATAGGTTGAATGGCCTTGAAAGTCCCCTGATGAGCCTGGAATTGCGGACACTTAAATATTACGCAGGGAAATTTAAACAAACAATTTCAAGTGTGATGGCAGTTTGAATTCAAGTTTAAATTCATGCTCTTAATTGCATAAAGATATGGAAATATTAAATATTTCTTACCTGCGCAGGTCTTGTCCATCCCTCGTGCTTTGTTGTTCTATGTGTTGCCTACATGTAGAAACAGGGACAGAGGCGAAACAAAAATACATATAAAAAAGGGGGGAAAGGCATTAACGCATTTAATAACAGCAATCAAGCAAGTGGACAATGAAAATTCAAATTCCTTCTAGGTTATATATCATCAGTTTTTGGAGCAGCTACTTCAACTTCCATAATTTTTGTGACGAATGCGAAATTAAATGAGTAGTAAAATTAAAACACAATACATTTTATGATACTAACAATTCGCAACTTTGTTTTTGTTCTTAGTATATTGTATTAATGCCTCTCAAAAAGTAGAATGCCAGCCAATAATTAAAAAAGAATTGAAATTTGAGAAAAATTGTAACAGCTTTCCTGTGATGTTTAATTACAAGAAAATTAAAGATGATGATGAAATTTACTCTTCACGTTAAACATTTCTTTACCAGAAGAAACCAGTTTACGAACAGCTGTTCTGTCTGTTGGCCTGCAAAATGTCCGTTTGCCCAAGGTACCCGCTTGCAACGCAACGGCCCCCCTTAAGTTTCAGCCGCCACCTGTTGGCCAAATTGAGAACGTTTTAACAAAACAATAACAAACTATCGTTGTGTGAACTTTGCCAAAGGAGATGTCAAGTACTTACGACGTGTCGAAAGTTGCAATGTTCTCTGTAAATGTGTGAACCTGGTGAGTTAGAATGATGATGATACGCATCCTCGTTCACGGTTGCAGATGGTGGGCTTTTGATAGCATCGTTTAGCCTTTTAGGAAACTGTGCAAATAAACAGGAAACACCAAGGACCTTTAACTACAATTTTTGAATACATTTTTGTACTACGAAGATTTTAAACTTTGAAGGACCTTGTGGAGTAATCAGAATGTCAAAGTTTGTTGTTGCTGCGTCCGTTTGTATCTCGGTAGGGGTCCCTTTCTGCCCAAGCTCTCAACCGCTTCACCTAGACAAGACCTCAGCCTACTTTTGAGTCATAACTAGTCAACAAATGTTGAACACCATGGTTTTCAAAGCTGATCTGATCTAATCGTGTTAACAACAAAGCGTCTGTCTGGGCAAGATTCATATTTTGACGCAAATCCCATTGTTGAGATTCTGAAAGTAGGGCGCGATGAATCATAACCTAACCATATAACGGTGTACTTGTTTGAAGTGTTTGAAGTGTACTTAACCTACATACTTCAATGTTTGCTAAAGCGAAGGCCTTGAACTCTGCGGTGTAAAACACTGTGCGTATTATCATTTTAATTTTTGTTTTCATAATGGATCTGATATTTTACCAAGTTTTGCTAGGCCTAACCCTCTACTGGAAAGTAGGTTTCATGACACCAATTGACAACTTTCAGTGCCCCACTCAGTTAGCCATTGTTTAACATTTAATCCTATCTCCCCTGGCGTTTTCTTTAGATGAGAAAACATTTAGTGGGATGTATCTATGGTTGTATGAAAATTCTTTCTCACAAATGTGTAATATCAACTGAAAGTGGAACGAATCAAAACTATCACTTTGTATCATTATTCCCAAGCATATTCCTCTTCCTAGAAAGCTATATTTTGTTTATCTAGACTAGAAGTACCTTTTTCACTTTCTTTTATTCATTGATTATTTCTGTTGATTAACAATATGTTTACTTTTCAGCAAAAACACCATGGTTTCCAGTAGAAGTGACACTAAGCGTCGGAGAAGAGATTCTAGTCCTCTTGATGCCAATCCAAAGCGGTAATTTCTTACTTTATCCTTCATTGCTTTCACATTTTTGGAGGCTAAAACGGTTTTGAATCTGATTTCAGGACTAAAGTCCATGCTCAGCGGAAATTTGCCCAAGGTGTGAGTAGCTTGAGCAATCTGCTTCACTTGACGCCAGTGAAAGAAAAATCAGAGAAATCTAGTGGATCAAGTGGTAATCTAGCAAATGGGTTAAAGGCAAGTGAAAGTTTAGGAAACCATAGTGATGTAGTAACAACAGGCAAGCGTGCTCTCCCAGCACGTGGTGCCAAAAAACCCAGTATTGAAGACATGATCACCTTTCTGTGCTACCGTGGCACAACTGCACTTCCATCTCACCTTGTTCATTTGAATAAAGCACCATCTCCAGAGCCCACATTGCTGTCGCAACAAGGCTCCTCTGATAATTCACGCAATAGACTTGGAGATAAAAGTAAAGAAAGTGAAAAGGTAAGAATATTAATGTGGTGTTGTTGTTATTTTATATTCATCCATTTAGGTTCATACTTTCTATTCTTTTTGAGAATTGTACATTTTTTAGGTAAATTGATTTTTGTTTGTAAACCATCTTTTCTTGTTCTATAGAAAACGAAAAAACCTCTGAAGTCAGCAGCATCTTCTGCTCTAAAAGCTGTTAATGCTGCTCAAGCCCTGAAGAGGAAATATCAGGAACAACGCATCAAGAAAACGACTGTCTCTACTCTCACAAGCAAAGGTATATTCTCCCACTCTTACAGCTCTATGGCACTTGCATTTCTTATAAATTTGTCTGCTATAATACCCATCTTCCTTTCTTTCAATAGTCAAATCAACTCCAATTCTGCGTACAACAAGATCTAATGCTGGCGCTGTTGTCAACATATCTTCGAAAACCTTACAAAAGAAGGTTGGAACTAAGAAGGTGGAAACAAGAAAGAAAGATTCCACTCACAAAGAAAATTTGACTTCTAAGAAGTCTTCAAAGTTAGTCTTGATTGTTTTTCTCTAGTCCATTTTTTTCTTAGTCTGTGCTCTTCATATTTTTTGCTCGTTCCTTTTGCAACATATAGGACTTCCAGCGGGAAACCATCTATTAGTTCCCCTTCTTTAATTGTGACTCCATCTAGTGGAAACCGTGGAGGACTACGAAGTGGGAAGGTTGTGACAGAGAATGTTGTGAGGAGTAGCAGGAGAAATTTGGGGACAAGTGTTACACTTAAAACTAAGCAAAAAAGTGGTGTCAGCTCACCTGAGGGCGGAAGTCCGCTGTCTAAAAAACTTGCTACATCTCTCTCTGATTTCTCATCTGAAGATGATCAACCTCTTGTCAAAAAGCCCAAACCATTAGTCCAAGTGCAAAAGTTAATCAAAAAGAGCATTGCAAACATAGGACGAAAAATGAAAATGGAACCACGAAGGAGCCGACGTGGTCTTTCTTCTAGCCCTTCATCACCCCCTTCTGCTCATAGGTGTGAATTTCTTGTTTTGTAGATTTTTAGTGATTTTTATTTTTATAGATAATTTTGGATGTAGGAAAAGTATGGGTGTTGTTTTAACTGAACATATTTTTCTTAGATTTGTGGCACTGTTACCTGGTCAAGCAAATGCCTCAACATCCAATAATAATGCATCTGGTATGTGTTATGTAACATATTTATTACAAATGTTCTTCCTAACATTATTAGTATTATCTTGAGTTCCGGCATGTTTCTTAATGGTTTTTCATTCTTGGCAATTTTTTGTAGATTCTCAAGAAGACAACTCCAAACAGAGAACTGGGAGCAAGAAATTGGCTGCTTCTAGTTCATGCAAGGATGTTAATGGAGTCCTCCGTAAATCTCACTCAAATGATAATGATAAAAAGGATGTGCACTCAACTCCTTCAACAACCCCTGTTAGGATGAAGAAAGGTTATGTCATGGAACTTGTTTGTGACACTACTGGAGAAACTGATTCAGAAGTCTTGGAAACTCGATCTAGAAGAGGCTCTCGTGACATGCGGGATACATCTCTTGAAGACAAGGCTAATATTAACCATGGAGGCCAGGATCATGTTAAAAACTTGCCTGCTGAGATCAAGAAGAAAGATCAATCTAAAGTCGCTGAACAATCTAAGAACTTGCCTACGGAAAGCAAGAGAAAAGAAACAAAAGCCACAGAGCAATCTAAAAAGGTGGGCAATGGAGCAACGCCAAAGCCTGCCAATACCAAGGCTACCAGTTCACTTTCTAAAAGTCAGCTTGATTTACCCCTGGCAGCAGTTTTGAAAAGCCCTCCTGACCTACGAATTCCATCTTCAATTAAAAGACCTCTTACAGCGGTTGGTATTACAAATCCAATGGCCATAGCTGCTGCTGCTGCAGTTGTCTGCAAATCTTCAACATCTACTGTGGACGATAAAGGGAAACCAAAAGAATCCCCTCAGTCTAAAGACAGTAAGGATAAGAAAGACATACGTAAACGGGAATCAACGTCAGGTAACTCTAAATCATTGAAAAGTAATTCTTCCAAAGTGGATGATAAAACTGATTCTGATCAAAACAAAGCCCAAGAAGAAACTAACATCAAAGTTGTTGATAAGATATCAAGCAAGCAAGATCGACTTAAATATGGGGGCTCCCCTAAGAAAAAATCAGATGATACATCAGATGAAAATACCAAGGTTGTAAGTAGCATGTCAACTAAAGACACAAAACTAATGAAAGTGAGGACTGATTTAAACAGTTCATGCAAGAAGACTGTTAAGGATGAAGATACCAAACTTCCACGCACCTCCAGAAGAAGTGGATTTAAGGTACCCTCTGATGAAGATGAGGCACCACTTACAGGGAGTATTGCTATTAAAAAGGGTTCAGATGAAGATGAAGTAAAACTATCACCAAGAACTAGGAGATCAAATGTTCGCTTGTCCAAAAAAGCAGTGTGCTCTGATGAAGAAGAACCTACTGAAGAAGTGTCTAAAGTATCTGAAGGGAAAGATGCCAAAGTGTCAATTCAATCTCGGAAGAAGATTTGTAATACTGAAAGTGACCAAGACCAGAAGAAAAAACATTACACACGGCAAGGTAAAGTCCATTCATCAGATGATGAATACCATGTTAAAAGGACTAAAAGAGACAAAAAGAAAGTATCTCGGTCTTATGATGACGCTAGCAGTGGGAGGTCTGGTGATGATAATCTCAGTGATGATGTCAGTCCGTCAACATCTAAACCGTCCACTAGATCAGCTGTTAAAAGCCATGTCCTGGAAAGAAAATCATCTCGATCAACTAGATCTGGGAAAATACTGGACAATTCAGAGGAAAACTATTCAACAGCAAGAAGTAAATTTAGACCCAAATCAGAGGTTTCTTCTTCAGAAGAGGATTCTGATTCTGAAAGTTCCATCTCTCCTGCTGTTCCTACAACCAGATCAAGGACTGTGAGGAAATCTCATAGTAAAAGAGAAGCATCTTCTGATAGTAGTGATGAAGGAACTGATGGAAAGATCAGTGGGCGTAGTAGAAGGTCCACTGCACTTAAGAAGGTATTGTCAAGGGGCTCAAGGAGTGCTTCAAGTGAATCGACCAGTGATTCATCCTTTGAGGATAATACCTTGGGTGGTGATAGATCTCATCGAAAGCCCACATCGAATAAAAAATTACTGTCAAAGAAGTCAATTAGAAAGGCTTCATCTGTTCAAGCTAGACCCAAATCTTCTGAAAATGACCATGGTGGAAAGAGACAAAATGATGATGAAGAGGGAAATGATGTTAAACTGAGACGCCGGCAATCCAGGAGCCCACGAAGAAGTTCACGCAGGAGCACGCTGGTAAAGAATAATGAAAGTAAAAATGTTTCATCAGCAAGTGATGCTAGTTCATCAGATTCATCACCAAGTCAAAACCGGCGAGTTTTGCGTCAAAGAAGGGGATTCTTTAGTTTTGCTGAAGTTGATCCTCCCTCAGATTCTGAAGAAGATGTTATTGCGGCCACCAAAGCCAGCTTAGAAATGATAAATCAACAGCAATCCACTGATTCTACAACTGCGGTTGACAGTTTAACAAAGGATATTCCAGAAAAGGATTTAGTATTAAAATCCATTGAGACTGACTCTTCAGGCAGTAAACAAACCAAAAACTTCTCACAGGAGCCCATCACATGTACCAAGAAAGCAAAGCTTGAACCCTCAAATGTAAAGAAGTCTCTTTCTAAGAAGAGGATAAAACCAGTCAGTGAAGTTCAATCAAATTTAAATGAAGAACTTGAAAAAACATTATTAAGTATCAATTTGTCACCTAAAATGGACAAATCATCTGATAAGTCCCTGCAAGATGATACCGCTCTTGAATCCAGTGGGACAGCAATTTCAGACTCAGTGGCTTATACTTCTGAACCATTTTTAACTTCCATGTCATTGACTTCAAGCATGCCTTCAGCTCCTCCTTCTAAGCTCCATCAAACTGGATCAAAGACCATTTCAGTGGATACGCCTCTACCAATTACTTCATCCTTAGTTGTTCCCTGCTCATCATCTTTGTTGACCTGTGCAACAACTGCTTCAGGAAGTCGTGGTGCTCACACAACTATGAGCCAGATGCCCTCTGCTTCAAAGTCAAAAAGTTCATCCACCTTAGCCTCAGATGCAACATTGTTATCGTCCACCTACGGTTCTTCACTCTCAATCAAGCCAGCACTACCTGCACCAATGCCTAGTATGGCTGCTCCATCTGGAATGTCATTTAATCCAAATAGCACTCACTCAAATATTGGCACTAAAGTAGCAAAAGCTGTTCTGACCTCAACCTCAATGTCTGCTTTTTCAAATGCGTGCTCGTCCACGTTCTCGACACCGCCGGTACTAATGAAAGGGCAGTCTGTCTCCTGCAATCTTCTGCCTATTGCAAGTGGTGGGTTGTCTACAATAGCAACTTCATCAACATTAGGAATTCCCTCTACCGTCTTGAGTGCTTCGGGGCAGCTTCTGACCTCTATGCAGACACAAGTTCCTTCTGCTCTAGCTACTGCTGTTCCAGCCTCAATTTCATCATCTGTGACAACTGCTTTGCCGACGCCCTTGACTCTGCCCATCTCAGCTCCAATACCCCTCAGCACTCAACTTGGCATACCTCTGCAAACATCAGGTAATATGCCGCTGTCGGTCCCCATGTCTACCACTATGACTTTACCTTTACAAGTTGGGCCACTTTCATCAGGGACGTCAGCGGCTGCTCCATTTTTACTGCCAGTCCAGTCAGCCCTCACATCTATGTTGGCTCCAGGTCAAACTATCATCAAGAAAGAATCTTCAAACCTAGCTGGTATAACCAATTCTGTGGGGAGTGCACCTCTCATGGTGGGCATGAACCCATTAGTTGTCAATAGCAATCGAGGAACAATCTTCTTGTCAACTGGAAGTACAATGACAATGACTTCAAGTCAGCAGCAAATGGTGTCAGGACCAATTATGCCCTCCCTGCTGTCCCTGCGGCTTCCGGATAAACCACAACAAACAATCATGGCAAGTTCCCCTCTGTATGTACCATTTGCCTTTGGAAACCCTGGCATTATTCAGACGCAAGCTCAAGTTCAGCCTCAAATTCAGACTATGGCAGGGGTTTCCACAATTACTGCCATGGCTACCAACATTCAGAATTCTATGGGAACAAATATGCCAAATACTATGTCAACAAATTTGCAAAATGCAATGACTGCTAGTGTTCAGAATGTTTCACCGAATATCCAAAATGCTTTAGTCACAAATATTCAAAGTGTAAGTTCTGCAAGTACGCAACATTCAATGGTTGGTAATATTCAGAATTCTGCAAGCATTTCCTCAGCATGCTCCCCCATGCTCACCCATGCTCAAGGGACTGGCACTGGAATGAAACGCCAGTTGGTTTTGGCAAATAAAAATGGCACCATGTCAAAACTCATCCTCTCCGTGGGTGAAGATGGTTCCCATGTCTTAGCCGCTGCAAGTCCCAACTCAGTACCTAGTTCTGAGGGACAAACATTGATGTCAGTTATGCAACCAGTGCAGTCTTCAAAATCTGGACCTCAAGTTAATACTACTTCAAGTTTGCAAACACTGCCATCTTTTTCTTCACAGTCAGTGTCAATCTCCAAAGGATCACAACCTTTAGTTTCAGTAACTGCTGGATCACAGCCAGTGAAGCAAACCACGATTTCAGCTCCCAAAATTACTGCAACTTTCTCCAGCCAAGCAACTTCAGGCAGCATTGTACCAGTGACTGCCAGCTTTATTTCAACACCTGTGCCAACATCTAAACCTCTTCACTCCACATTACTCTCGAAAGCATCAAATGCATCTGTGTCGCCGAGCAAATCAGGACTAGTTGTAACCAGTATTGTTCCTTCAAGTACTTCAAGTGCAAGTGTTGAATCAAGAGCTGTGAAAAGTGGCAATTTGCCTAAGTTTGCTGCCAGTTCCTCTATCACTTCAAACACATTTCCTTCATCTTCATCTGCAATGAGTTTAGCCTCTAATACTTCTATTATCTCATCTGAAACTAATAAGGCCTCTTCTACTGTCAGTACTGTTTCATGTAGCAGAACTCTAGCTACCCCAATTAAAGCTGACATGAAGCAGAGTACTACTCCTTTAATTCGTTCATCTGCATCTTTGGTAGTTTCATCAGCGACTAAACCTCAAGAAAATCGACCAACTTCTAGTATATCAACGTCATCATCTAAATCAAGCCCTGTTGTTGACTCATTATCAAGCAAGCCCCTGGTGTCAGGAAAGACTACGATTCCTCCTGATCCTAAAGTGGCCCTGACTGGATCACCAGTCAGAAGTGTTGCACATGGAGATTTGATTACAACATCTTCTTCCAACACCAGTATAGTCACATCTCCTGCTTTGACATCAAGAATACCATCAGCACCTGCTGCTCTTGCTGCTTTGAAGAGCAGCGGGACACTTGCATCCACTCGCGCAATTGCAAAGACTGGATCTAGTCGTAAGCCATATTCAACTGCTGCTTCTTATGCATCTGCAAAGACATCTGATTCTTCTGAACTAGTAACTCCTTCCACTTCTCCAGCACCTGCAAGTTCTGGCCAGCTACCATCTCCTCTTATGAGGGTAACTAGCTCTCAAATGCCTCCAATCATCACTTCCCCATTAAAAGAAACAGTTTCTAAAGTGAGTGTGACACCTTCACCTTCCATTTCAAAGAGCTCTATTTCAGCGGTTTCTACGAATACTGATGTCAAGCGTAAGGGCACTGAGGTGGAACTTGCTTCCACACATAGAACACTTACAATGTTGTCTACAGCTTTCCAAGGTCTAGAAAAGAAACGAGATATATCTGCAAGGAAGGTTATTGAAACACCTGGATCTTCTGAGAAACAGACTGGAAAGTTGAATGTTGAAAAGTCTGGACTAGACAGTTTAGCAGAGGTTGCTACAAGTCTTGCTGAGCGGTCCTCGGATGGAACTCTGTGTGACAAACGAATTCCTGAACATTCCTTATGGGCCAATCCAGCTCAAATTCTTGGAAAAGAAACCTTGAGAGTCCCTGGTCTCCCCATCACTGCCAATATAGGAACAAATTTGCCTACTAAAAACGATTTAGCAAAGATGAAGAGTGGTGCAGTTTTAGCGGATGCTTTAGAAAAACGGTCCTTATCAGATATTGAAAAGTTATGCAAAGTCAGAGGGAATTCTCCAGGAAGTAAATGTGAGAAATCTTCTGTCTCAGGACTGTTAACTGGTAGTACAGCTGAGACACCATGTCAGAAAGTACAAAAATGGCTGGAGGATGGTTCTAATCTTGAGATGGAGCACAAACATAATTGTCGTCTCTTGAGTAATGGATCTAATTGCACTTGTGATGTGATGGAAGAAGATATTTCCAACTTAAACAGTCTTGCCGAAGTTTGCGTCAGTATGGAGCGCATAAATAGTCCTTCAAAAGAACAAAAAAATGCGAAACAAACTAATAAATCATCAACCGAAAAGAAGAAGAGAAACGAGCGTGGAGATTCATTGAAAAGTGGTGCTCAAATTTCACCTGTCAAGTCCTCTCTCCCTCTAGACAGTGATCAAATGAAAGTAACTTGGCGGAATGCATTTGGTGTCAAATCTCCTGCAAAGAGTAGCAAGGTTGTGAACTCCACTCAGTCAAAACGAGTTACACTAAGTGATGAATTGAAGAAAATTCAGACAACTGGAAACATGCTTTTGGAAAAAAGTTGTACAATTACTGCAGATAGTGTTCCTCCTACAGCTTTATTTGGCCAAAATTATGGTGAGCTTTTAATTTTCTTTTACATAGATTGAACACCACACTGTTTTTGATTTGTTTCATTTTATAAAAAAGGTATTTTATTAGATTTAAAAAGACACATTTTTTAATTTCTTTTGCTAGGAAAAGATTTAAGGAAACAAGATGAAGGTGCAGAATCGAGTTCTACTGATGAAACATCACAGGAAAAGAAACTAGCTCAACGGAAATCTTTACTTGGTCGCATACCTGATCCATCTACTAATTTGAAGCTTGATAGTGCAGCTTTTTCTGCTGACAATGAAAGTAGTGTTTATGCATTTGAAGCCGAAACTGATACTCCCCCTGTCAGTCAGCCGTTCCGGAGAAGATCGAAAACACTGTCTAGATCAGATGAAGAAGACTCGACTTCAGTTGGATCAATCTCTCATCCTCTGACTGTTCAAGTAATTTATAATCATTGTGATAATTATTTTTATCAATTTGAAAATTTTTCAGTCACAACAGAAATTTCAAATCTTTTTTTTGTTTTCCTAGGTGAGCAAAGATCCTGTTTATGTACCCATTCAGGTAGAAATTGATGAAAACATTCCACGTTCAGGATTATTAGAAGTTCCATCTGAGAAAACTTGTAATCCGTCCAATGATTCTCAAAATGACGACAGTGATGTTTATTATATTCCACTAGGAGGACAAGAAGGTAAGACTGATTCTACAACTGTTAAATTATTACACATTTGTACTTTTCAAAACTTTTACAATTCTGGGGTACAAAATTTTTTATAGGTCATGAAGGTGATGTAAGAGCAGTTGCTGTCAGGTTGGGCAAAAAGGGTCCTAACAATCGAGTGGTTATGAGTGCCAAAATTGTAAAGAAACCACCAACTTTTAAACATCCCAATGACACAGCTGAAGATGGATTGCCAAACAAAAGGTGAGCCTTCCTATAGTTGTACAGATTTACGAAATGAAAGAAGTAAAACAAAACAGAAAGTATAAAGGGTTGTTTTTTTGTTTTGTTTTTTAAATATTTCTCATAATGTTTGTGTTTCAGAGTGAAAATGGAAATGTCATCCCAAGCTGGTCAGCATTCTGGTCAGCAAGCTGATGCAAAAACATCTGCTAAAAAGTCACTAGAAAGCAAGACGTCCTGTCAGAATGTTGGCAGTAAAGCCAAATCACCTCAGGAAAAAACCAAGAGAGAAACACATTTTTCAATAACAGATAGTTCAGGAGAAGACACATCACCATTGCCACTCTTACCATCATCATCATCATCTTCATCAAAGGACACAAAGGAGTTCAAAAGTTCGATGTCCCCTGCTTCATCAAGAAACAAATCTCCTATGTCGGATATTGCCTCTCCATCTGCATCTCAGTGTAATTCAAAAGGGAAAGGGAGATTGAACCGACAGTCATCTATTGATAGTGACGCGAGTGAAAAGGCCAAGTCTTCACGAAGGTAACAAGTCAAATACCTACACTTATTATTTTTTCTACATTGTACTTGTCTTTATTTTCAAAATCTGCGTTAAATTTTCAGGGGCTCGAAGGGTAAATCTAGCTCATCTCGGGCTTCACCCTCTCCATCTTTACCATCAACCTCTTCTACATCAAGTGGACCCTCTAGACCTTCACAAAAATCTAACAGATCATATAATGGACCTGTGCCTGGAAATATTTCAGAAGCTCCAGTTTTCCATCCAACAGAAAAAGAATTTCAGGACCCATATGCATATATTGAAAAGATACGTCCCATAGCTGAGAAATACGGACTCTGCAGAATAGTTGCACCCCACAGCTTTAAGGTACAAATTTCTATCTAAGAATTGGAGATACTTGTTATCTGGATGTGTTCATACTAAAATTTATGTTCTATTACAAAATTTTAGCCGGATTGTAATGTGGAAGATGATATACGGTTTACTGCCGACAATCAGTACGTACACAAAATGATGGATCGTTGGGGTCCTAACGCCAAAGAGATGAGAGCCATTGTTAAATACATTGATCAACACAATATCCATCTTAAACATCCACCATTGGTATGCACGAACATTACTGTTTGGTAGTGCTGTTTGATTTGAGCTGAGACTTTTTCATTTGCATAATGACTTTTATTCTATCACAACAGGTTGGAGGTATGGAACTTGATTTGCCTCGACTATATACTACTGTACAAAATTTTGGTGGTTTAATGGAAGTCATGGACAAGAAGCGTTGGGTTAAAGTAGCTGAAACAATGCGCATCCCTAAAAGTGCACAAGATAGAGCAAGTAAATTGGATGAAGTATATTGCAAATGCCTCCTTCCATATGAAACTTTGAAAACAGGTTAGCTATCCATACATCAATCTTTGAAGTGTACTATGGAATTATTTTATTGCATAACTTAATTCTATTTGAATGTTAAATTTTTCTAGGTGAAAGAGATAATCTCTTTGAAATGGTCGAAGTAGAGTGGGAAATGCGTAAAGAAAGACGAGACAAACGTTTAGCTGCTTCTGCATCCTCACCTGATGAAGCGGCGGCAGATTCTCAGGCAGATGATGAAGACGATGATGAGGAAGAAGATTCTGATGCTGATGAAGAAGATGAGTGTATTGTCAAAGTGCGTTTCTTCTCAAGTATTAACTGAAGTATCCTGATAGACCTTGTTTAGAATCTCTGTGTGCACCCTATGTCCTCCTCTTTATAAGATTCTTTGCCTTTCAGGGCCGATCCATGCCTTTGACCACATTTTACCGCACAGCTCGAAATACAACCCATATGTGGTTTAAGGGAAGTTCTCCTTCAGCCTCAGAAGTTGAACATGAATTCTGGCGCCATGTGAGGGACCGAAATTTCCATATCTGTGTTAATGCTGGATCAGTTGATTGTAGTGATCCGCCATATGGTTTTCCAATCCGTAACTCACCATTTGCTAAACATCCTTGGAATCTAAAAGTTTTTTCAAACAGCAATGGCTCTGTACTACGATCGCTTGGCTCAATTATTGGTACGAATTTGAAAGTTACTTATCCTCTATATTACTATGTTTTCCCATTGATTGTACTGTTTTGATTTTTCATTTTCCTTGTTTGTAACAACTATATCTATCCATTGTAATATAGGTGTGACTGTGCCAACATTACATTTTGGTATGGTATTCACTACATGTTGCTGGTATCGTGATCCTCATGGATTGCCATGGATTGAATATCTGCACACAGGCGCTAAAAAGATCTGGTAAAGTTTTATCTGATTTAACCTATTGTTATGTACTACTTTCTTTGTTAGTAATTTTGTTTTCTTTCTTTATAACACAGGTATGGTATACCTGAACATGGCAGTGAAAAATTCCGTTCTGCTATGCAAGATGTAGCACCCCATTATGTACGCAAGAAGGCTCTTTGGCTTGCTTCTGATACTGCTATGATTCCGCCAAACATGCTCACAGAACGTAAAGTGCCTCTTTGTCGTACTGTTCAAGAGCCTGGTCAGTTTATCGTTGTGTTTCCTCGTGCTCACACATCTAGTGTTGCAACTGGATATATTGTCTCTGAGAGTGTATCATTTGCTCCGCCAAGCTGGCTTCTTTCTGCTATGGAATCATTCAGGGAAATGCAGAAGTGTAATGAACCACCTCTCTTTTCTCTTGACAAATTAATATTTGCTATTGCTGAGGACCCGAGATCATCACTTAATGTATTAAATACGGTGTGTTCCAATTATTTTGCTTGGTCAACCTTTCTAGTTGATGAATGGTTTCAATTCTGTGAAGCATTTCTGGTAATAACTTTCATGTATCTTTTCATCAACAGATTCTCTCTTCAGTAATGGAAATTTTAGAAAGAGAAATAACATCCCAACAAGAATTGAAGAAGAAAGGAGTAACTTCAACAGAGCGCATGGAACGATCTAGGAAGAAGTCTGCTGGGAAGAAGTCCAAGATTCAGAAAGAACTTGAAGATGTAGAAACTTTGGAATGTGAAGTTTGCTCTACCATCCTTTTCTTGTCAATGGTAAATAAAAGTTTGTCTGAGTAGTTCTTTCAGTTTCACATGCAATAGAGTTTCTCTATCTTTCTTGGCCTTGGTTTCAAGAAATGTGAAGGGTGCTTTGCAGTATTTTTGAAACAATCTTAAATATTACTTCTGCATCAATAATTATGATGATATTTTGTTGTGTGTTTAAGGTTGTTAACAAGGAAGATCAGAGTCGCTACTGTTTAGCACATGCATCATCATTTGTGGATCAAGAAAAACTTAGCCCCAGTCAGTGTAAACTACTGTATACCTACACTCAGGTAAGTGAAATCCAGTCAACTCAAACTTAATTCTTATTGTTAAATCATGTTGAACCAAATAAGAAGAGACTTTCTTCCCTTGTGGCTAAATTTAACAGCTTTTTTTGTTCTTTTAGAATGAACTACACGAATTTTGCCAAAATCTTCTAGACCGTATTGAAGCAAAATCTGGAAAGAAAGGTAACAACTCCAGTGGCAATAATAGTGACAGTGGAAGCTCTGCTTCAACATCCACTAGAAATTAATGTTGTGCCAAATTTCTACAAGTTTTAAGATTTGATTGCAACTATTGGAAGTTTGGAGACACATTTATGCGAGAAATGTTCAGTGGTGCAATATTTTAGTATCTACGTACTTAAATTTTATTTATAAGCTAACTGCTATCTTCTATAATGTTCCTGCAAATGAATGAGAAACAAGTATTAGTGAGAGATTCTATTTTGTTCTGTGGAAGTATTGTACATAAGGTAATATGGGACTAAGAAGGGGTGTGTTGACAACATGATTGGACATTTTTAATTTTCATTTTTAATCTGCCTCTTTTACACATCTAATCTCAATGCAGTTTATCTCTGATCTTTAATCCTAAATGAATGGTTTTTTGAAAACGTTACACAGAAAGGGAAAGGAAGAGCCAGTCAGCCACATTCCATATGTATATAGTTGTTTTCATTTTGAACTTTTGCAAACCATGAAACCATTAACTCCACACTCTCTATTTTTATTTCCTGACAAGGAGGTACAATTACCTAGTTTATAATGGTTAACAACTCTAATGATGTAGGTGATGACATAGATACTAAGCTACGTGAATGGCATGTTGTGAGGTTGAACAACTCTTATTCTTATTATGAAAAAAAGTCTCTGTTATTGCAGATTTTTTATTTGTTGGCCTTAGGATAGTAACAGTTATTACATTTTTTATCAGTGTATTTTATCAACCAAGCTGCAGTTACAACTGAAAGCCAAAATCGCATTGAAAGCTGTGTTTATGAATGTGGTGAACTTGGACTTAATTAGTCCTCAAAGTGGTCTCTGTTTTGAGAATTGGCGTTATGATTTTATTTTGTAAGAGATTTTATCACCACTGTATAGTGTTTACATTCCTTAATTATACCAGTCTTTTGTTTTGTGTTGGTGACAAAAGGCATAGCAATCTGATTAAAAATGTACCAACATTCCTTTAATTATAGAAAATAACCAGTCTTATGTAGAAGAAAGAGTACAATATTGTATATTTCACATAAAAGAATCCATTTGCTCATTGAGTTTCGCCTTTTTAATTTGTATTCTAAATTTCATCAAAGACAAAAATTGTGGAATGTTACTTTTACCACATATCATCTGGTGCCAAAGATGCTTTACTGGTATTGTGAGTATAGCATAATGTTCTTGAGCAAGTACACAGTAGATTTCTGTGTACAGTGTCTGCTATCAAATGAACAGAAAAATAGGCTTTTATTTTCTCTTGTCTCCTCTATATTGTTACCTTTCATGAACTTTTATTGGTAGATGCAATTAATGGTAGAGTTTTATTGATAGTGTTACTAATGTTCATTTTCAGAGTACATACATATTTGTTAATGTACTCTTACATTGGAAGCTCTGCCTATGAATTCTGTGAAGAGTATTTCAGTTGCTTGTTGTTTAGTTTCATTTGGTATACATGTGTGTTGTGTGAGTCTTCCTGCATGTTGTGAGGGTGAATGCAAGTTTTACATGATTTGATGATATAGCTTATTGTGAACATTGTTTCTTACTACTGCAATACTACTTTAGTATTCATTTGCTTGTTATTGCATCACAATGTAAATAAATACTTGTTATCCTGAGGAGGGTGCTGTAAACCCAAAACTGTAGGCAAATGTATATAGGATATAATATTTGTGGTTGAGGAAATCATAGAGTGGGTAAGTTCTAGGCAGTGGCCTCTTCTTTTCCACTGCCAGGGGCTCACTGGACTCCTTTTTACCTTGGTTGCTTAAATCTGTATCTCCCCTTTTGCAAGCCAAAGAATGTTAAGTGCTTTAGCATGTGTTAATTATGTAGTCTACTGTTATGAATTCATTGTACAGAGATGCTTATCAAATGAACGGCGGACCTTTCAGGAACATCAGTTTATGACACGTCTGGAACATAACAGCAATGGTTTGTTTCATTTTCATAATATATTTGGTACTGACGGCATTTGGAATTCCAAGAATGAAAAGAAGGCAGTGCTGTTACTTTCTTTTTACAAGTTTGACCAATGTTTCTGTAGCACTCCTGTGATGCTCACTCATTCTTTTAAAATTGGACTGCAGTCAGTGAAATTGAAATAATCTAGAATATATTTTAATAAGAACAGCACATTTAAGCACGATGAAAATAAATCTTGACTGTGTCATGTGTAAATTGTGGACCATACTATGAATATATTACCTGACATGTTAATTAACGAAATTATGTGATCTTCAGAGCCATTGACTAGTTTATCCTGCAATGGCTTGTAAACTTAGGACGATTCCTCTAAAACAATTGTTATGAATTAATCATTTTGTGGTTCCCAGTGGTTCTATCTTAATTTCTTTTTGCTGGATTGCTTTATCCTTAATTTGGGGTATGTAATTATTGTGATTTTAATCTAAATGAAATGAAATTTTCATGTTAGTCTCACAGTAAAGTTTCTCTGCATCATCTGCTGGGCAGTATGCGAAGCTCCATTATTTTATTTTCTGACCATCTCTAGTCCTGCTTCTCAATCACAATGTAAATAGATAATTGTATGAACTAAATGTCTTTCTATTTATTTTTCCAACTGCAGTTCTTTTTACTTATAGGTATATAGATGATATATATTTACATGTACATACAGACCTTTTTCTTTTATATAAACACTATAGAGTGAGCTTGTTAGTCCTTTCTATACAATCAACTGTACATTTTTTGTTGTTTTGTTTTATTTTCAAATATTGTTGTGTAGTTTGTGTGATATGTGAATGTCTCTTTCTAGAGTTTTAACTTAAGCTGTTTGGTTTGTTGTACTCTACTTTTAAATTTACAAAATCTGGATGACAAGATGAATCATGCATGTGAATGGAGACGTTAAACAAGGGTCACTGACTTTCACAATCAAAAATTGATTTTAGTTTGTAGTGGATCATCCTACTTACCACTGTTACGATTTTGCATAGAGCGTTCAAATTACAAGAAACTATTGTACAAAATTACAAGTCTTTCTACTGTCTGAAAACTTAGGTAGATAAGAAATTTCTGTTTAATCTATTGAATTTATTTTTTAAAATGGGAACGATTGACTTTTTTTGTGTGTTTGAGAGTTCTGTATACATATGTAAGTGTGTGTTTTGCATGTCATTCAATAATTTGTATCTTACAATTATACAATGTTAGTATTGCATTTAGCAAATGTATTCCTTCATTAACCCTTCAACACTCCACCTTAAAAATGAAAAACGAGTCAGACATAGAACAAAAAAATAATTGTAAAACTTAAATTTTTCCCCTTATTGTGGTTGGATCATCCTAAAAGTTTGTCCGTCATCTGCTGTTGCGATATTGCAAAGTTCAGCCAATGCGAGGTCTCATAGCGCCTGATAGGCAGACAACACCTTGCCTGTGGTGAATGCTTGCACTGCGGGATGGCCTACCCTGTTTCTCAAACTGTTTTTGTTTTTACAAATGTGCAAGAGGTGGCACCCTTTCCATTTTCGTTCAACCTGCATTAAAACTGCATGACATGGCCCATGATAAACGCGTCTAGAATGTGCCAGCAGGGGACACATGATGCAGTTTGCTCGAGTTAGCTACCTCTTGTCTATAAAAGCGTTTCAACAGATTCCCTCCAGATTCTTTATTTTTAGATAAGAAAAAGAAACAAAAACAATAACTCAATCGATACAACTCAGTACTGTCACAATTAACAATTTACATGCATATGTATTGCATCATTAATTTCACTGCTCAGTTCAATGACGTTGAAAGTGTCCCACTTGTCGCATTAACAGGTACTAGAATACACGTCAGTATTGTACATGTAAAAAAACAGGGTAGCACCAAAAGTATTAGTCAGGGAGTTTATGCGCAACTTCAAAGGGCTGTTCTTTTTCCCTGACCACCAGTGATCTGAATAGCTTTGCTAATTTAAAGTTCCATCCTTCTGGTAGGTAAATGACGTTCGAACACTCGACGCCGTACTGTGGGCAAACTATAAGTTGGCCGCGGCGGGCTGGGCTGTGCCGGGCTTGGGCTTCCCCAGCGCCCTGAGGCGAGCTGTGAAGCGCACCAGCCAGGCCGGGGTGCGGCGCCGCACCTCCTCCTTCACCTGGCGGTACACGAGTAGGGCCAGGACGGGGAGGGCCAGCAGCTCGCTGCTGAACAGGAAGAGCCACACGGCGAGCACCAGCATGCCGAGGTCCGTCGCGTAGCTGATGGTGGACTTGACGCTCTCCTCGGCGCGGCGCACTAGCTCTAGCTCCTCTTCGGGCGTCCGCGGTCGGAGGTCGTCGCTCAGCGTGCTGCTGGCCACCGAGGTGTGCGACCGGTGCACCGAGGACCTCTCCGACAACGTCCTATCGCGACCCACGGCACCGAGTGCCTCTTTACTACGGCGCACCACCGAGCCGTCCCGCCTGGAGACGGATCCGTCCCGCTTGCGGCTCGTCGAGCCGTCCCTCCTCGACACTGATGGATCCCTCTTGGAGAGGGACGCGTCCCTCCTGGGGACAGACTGCTCCCGCGCAACAGAAGGTTCCCGCCGCCTAGACGACGAGACGGACGTGTCCCTCTTAGACACCGATGGCTCCCTCCTCGCAGCGGACGCCTCCCTCCTCGCCGCAGATGGCTCTCTACGCGTGGAGCTGGGCTCCCGCCTTGAAGCGGGGTCTTTTCTCGTCGCGGATGGATCTCTCCTGGACTCCCTTCGGGCGAGGAGGTCTTCGCGAACGCTGCTGCTGGTGACGGGGGTGGCCACCGGCTCTGGTGTTTGTTGCGCGGTGCTGGCTGTGACCGGGGCCGCCGCAGGTGCTGGGGCTGGGGCCGGTTGGGCAGGTTGGGGCGGCGGTGGCGGCGAAGACTTTGACAGGACTGCCCGCTGCGGCTCGGCGGGCCCCACGGCTTCCGCCGAACCGTTTGCGGTTTCGGCGCGCGCCCGCAGCTCGTCGTAGGTGAGGTACTTGGGCTGCTGCGGCTTGTTTGCCGACCCGTAGGTCCGCACGAGCTCGCTATAGTGGCTAATGACGACATTGGTGGCCTCATCCTTGAGTGAGTCTTTTCGTGGGGCGGCCAGTCCCCGTTTGCTGCGGGCAGCCTCTGCCGCCGAGATGCCCAGGTCGGCCTCGGGCGAGACTGTGAGTCCGGACCCGGTGCGCGGGTCGGCGACAGACTCTTCGACGGGAGGCCTGTCGGGCTTGGACCGAAGCTTGACCGGGGGAGACGCGTCCGGCTCGGAGTCGTCCTCTCTCTTGATGGGTTTGAACATCTTGCTTAGGCGACGCTTTTCCGACTTGTCGCTGTCCTGAGAATCGGTGCTCTTGCGTCGTTCCCCGTGCCTCAGCTTATCTCTGGCCTTAAGCAGTGGGCTGAGCGGGCCCGGGCTCTTGCTGCGTGGGCTCTTGCTTCCCGGACTCTTGCTTCCGGGGCTCTTGCTGTTCCTACGCACGCTGCCGCGCTTCTTCAGGATGGGCTTGGGCTTGACATCGCCCTTGACGGGCGAGTGTCGCTTGGTGAGCAGTACGCTGGCCACGTTGTCGTGCTCCGTCATAGTGGTGTATGTCTCTGCCTTTGGAATGAACAGCTCAGGCTCGGAAACCTTCCGGTGCGGAGGTGGGGTGGGCGGTGTGTCGTCCACGGCGGCCGCAAAGGAGCGCCCGCCAAAGCGGGGGTGGTAGGTCTCTTCCTCGGACTCTTCCTCGGGCTGCTCCAGAGGCATGTCCTCGTCCTCCGCAAGGTCCTCGCTGTCTTCGTCTTCCTCCTCCTCTTCTTCCCCAAGTTCATCCTCCTCTTCCTCCATTTCCTCGTCCTCGAGGTAGTCGTCGACATCCTCCTCCTCCTCCTCACTCCGCGTCCTGCGCACGACGCGCGTGTCCTCCGCGCTGTCCTTGGCTACTCTGTTCAGCCTATCCCTTAGCGCGGCGAACTCGGCCTGCTCGCGCTCCTCCGAGGTCATGACCCTTTTGGTAGACGCTGGCTTGGCATCGGGAGCGGGTGGAGGAGCGGAACCGTCGCTGGGCCTGGCCGCGGCGAAGCGCTTGAAGTTGACGGGGATCTCTTCCTCGGCGTCTTCGTCCACCGAGTCCATACGGCCCTTGAGGCGCTCCCTGTTCTTGCGCTCGATGCTGAGTCTCCGCTCCAGGCTGACACGCCGCTCGATGCTCATGCGTCGTCGGCGCGCCTTCTCAGCCTCCTCCTCGGCCACCTCCTGGTAGAAGCGCGCCATGGCCCGTTCGTGCAGCAGCTCCGTGGAGCTGACGGCGTTGCGCATGAAGGGCACGTCCGGGTCGATGGCGCCCAGTTCGGGCGCCGACAGCGACATCGGCGGTGCCACCGAGGCCTCGCCATCGCCCTCCACGCTTCTCCGGAGGGCAGCAGCGTCCACGGACCGGGACCGGGACCCCTCTGGAACACAGCGATCCGTCACATGAGCTCCCAGCGAGTAGGCGACCTAACGGGCGCGCGTGCATGGCGGAGGCCTATGCACGCAACGGCAGGCGTTAGCCACACTTGGTAACGATTTCTATTGAGTTTTGTTTGTAATGTCTACCATTTCCAGCACAGGGAACAAACCAGAAGTTACAACGCGATGGCATTAAATCAAACATAACTTGTCTGAGGGACATTTTTGACATGTTTTGTTTGACAAAGTTCAAACCTTCTCTCGAAATATGGCGATGTAACACCTTGAACTGTAAAATTGTCTTTCCCCAAAACAATTCACAGTTTGTTTTTTTCAGGAGAAAATTCACTCTACGGACCACGTACTTGGAACAAGATGACACATTTTAATGAGTATACCCATGTAATTTAACTGAATCAAAAACTCACCCCTTTCCTCGGTAGCAGCACGGCTATTCGGTAGAAGCACGAGAAGGAACTCCGAAGAGTCGCCGGTCACGGAGCCATCCTCTGACCTGGGGAACAGCCTGTCTTGGCCTTGAACGGCGCCGGCGGTGGTCTTCCCTCCGTCTTTATTTTGAACGGCGGCCGCCGCATCCGACTTCCTTCTAGTGACCTGGCCGATGTCTTTTTCTCTCTCTCTTTCGCGGGCTTTTTGTTCCTCTTTCTCTTCGTCCCTCTCCCTCCGCATACGGTCCATCTCTGTCTTCTGCTCCCGTTCTAGTTCTAGCTGGCGCTGCCTGCCCCGCTCCTCCAGCTCCCGCTGCCGCCGCTCCAGCTCCATAAGCTTGGCCTCGTACTTGTTGGCGTACTCCTCGACCTGGCGCAGGTCCAGCACCCCGTTGGACTCGGGCTTGGTGACGACCTCACCACCGCCGATGGGGCTGCGGCGCGGGCTGTGGCGCGGGCTCGGGCTGCTGGGCGCGGGGCTGGTGGCCGGGCTCGGCCGCGGGCTGGGCAGCGGCGGGTAGATGACCTCCTCTATGCCGCCGTGGGTCTGCTTGGCGCGGACGCTGTCCGTCGACAGGTGGATGCCGTACAGCCGGCCCTTCACCACGCCCATCTCGTCCGGGGTCGTCGGCAGGTAGCTGCTGAGCGAGTCCGGCTCCGGAGACACCGAGTCCCCGCGCCGCGGCACGCTGCGGTTGCGGCGCTTGGGCGGCTCCGGCGCCCCGGCGCCCTGGGGGACCTCCCTCCGGGGCGACCCGGCCCGCCCGGCCCCCGGGGCGGCGCTCCTCGTCCTGGGCAGGGACAGGGTCTTCTCCGGGGCGCGGCTCGCGCGCGGCACCGGGGACGGGATGGGTGACACGTCCTCCAGCTCCATGCTGAGTGGCGGCGGCCGCTTGCGAGTCGGTGTCCCTCCACCACCGCCGTCGTCGGCGCGGGCCTTCTTCTCGTCCTGCGCCTCGTCGCCGTCCTCCCGGTGACGTTTCCTGTCGTGCCACCAGTCGCTCCCCTTCTCCGAGCCGTCCACGGTTCTCTGCGGGGGGTCGCTAATCCTGTTGGTCAAACAAAAGATGGTCAGCACGAGCAGTCGCCAAGGCACGGCACGTACTGAGGACGCACCCTCTCTTGGGGTCGGGGATGAAGATGGTTTCCGACTCGTCGCCCGGGTCGCTGACGCCGTACGGGTTCTCCGCCTTGACGCGGAACTTGTACTCGGAGCCCTCGATGAGGTCGCCCAGCGTGGTGTTGAGCTGTCGGCACGTGGCCGCCTTGAGCCACATGTCCCAGCCCATCTGGAGAAGACACACAGGGGGCCGTGAACAGCGAGGCAGAGACTTCAACCGTGCGTCTAAGTCCCGCTTGCGACCGAAAACGACAAGAGTGACAGCTGGCCAGCTGGCTCACAATTTCTCGTTTTCGGTTGCAAAGGGGATGGGTCCCTGGACTCGGCTCGCCAGGCTCTATAAGACTGGTCCACGGGGTAGACCACCGCGGACTGGTCGCAGTCTCTGGAACGTGATGGTGAAGCGTTCCCGGAGCGTTTCCTACCCTGTAGTACTCGACGATGTAGTTTCCAATTTTGCAGCCGCCGTCGTCATCCGGGGGTCCCCAGGTAAGTGTGACGGAACGACCCAGCGTCATGGCCACCATGGCCTTCCCCGGCGGCGTAGGTCGGTCTGTGTGCAAACACATGAGTAGGATAGAAAGTCCAAGAGACCAAGACCGAACTCAGAGCCCCCTCCCCCACCCACTCTTTGTGCATAGAGCTCACCCTGGAGCCAACCCGCATGCTCGCCCACCTGTGACGGTGACCAGGAAGGCCGCCACGTCCTCGCCGAGCTGGTTGACGGCGCGCACCTGATACTCGCCGCGGTCTGACCGCCTGGCCTCGGACACCCTCAGGGACGCGCCCTTGTCGGTGGTGGTGAGCTCGTGCCGCGGGCCGGGGCGCATCACCTCGCCGTTGTGCAGCCAAGACAAGCGGGGCGCGGGGCGACCCGCCACCGAGACCTTGACGCGGATCACCTCGCCCAGCTCGAACAGCAAGCCTTCCTCGTACTGCCGGGGCAGGCGGATGGACGGGGGTGCTGCGGACACAAGTACAGTACGCGTCAACAGGCAGACCGGCAGCGTGCCCAGGGCCCCGAGCACACCGGCCACCCGCACGCACGCCTGCAGTGCCGGCTAGTATACCCATTCGCCCGGACGGCGCTGACGGCTGACAGCCCGACGGCCCTCCCTGGATCGTTCTTTGCACGTGCTAGTGCACGGAAAACATATTATTGGTCGCGAGAACGAACAATTTAGCTATTTGTGGTTTAAGAATGGCCAAAGCCAACCAAAATTCGCCTAGCTCATCGAAACTTGGCCACTTTTTGTTGGGGTTGAAGAAGAGCGGCCGTGCCCTACCTTCGAGCCGGAGCCTCGCCTTGCTGACCGCGTGGCCCGCCCTGTTGGTGGCGGCGCACTTGATCTCGCCCTCGTCGGCCAGCGCCGCCTGGTGGATGATGAGGGTGCTGGTGATGGCGGTGCCCTCGCCGTCCGTGACGACGCGCGACCGCCGTCCGGAGAACACCTCCAGGCCGTCCTTGAACCAGGAGATCTTTGGCGCGGGGGTACCCGTCACCCGCACCGTCAGCTCCACCTGCAGGCCGACGAGAGGGAGAGGATAGGGTAACTCTGTCCTCCAAAATCACAGGAGGACCGAGTCCGAGCTCGGAGCCGGGGAGGTTTTGCGAGTCCCTGCCGGCAGGAGGGCCCTTCCTGCCCGCTCCTGCCCCTCCGCGAGATGCGCACCTTCTCGTTCTCGAGGGCCACCGTGTCCTGCAGCTCCTTGGAGAAGTGCGGCGCCGTGGCCACGCCCTTGGCCAGGGTGACGGTGAGCGGCTCGGACACGGCAGACGGGTCCGAGCGGCCCGCGCCGTTCTCGGCAAACACCCTGAACTGGTAGCGCCAGCCCGGCTCGAGCCCCGACAGCGTGAGCTGGCAGCGGGACACCACGCCGGGGGTGGCGCGCACCCAGTGCGGGGAGCCCGTGCGCCGGTGCTCCACCAGGTAGCCTGCGCAGGACAAAGTACAAGTGAGTATGAGGAAGCTGACGTGCTCCTCGCACTGGTGGCGCCAGCTCGGCTCGACGCCAGTGCGGGGAGCCGTGCAGGACAAAGCACAAGTGAGTACAAGTACAAGGGCCGGATATGCTCCCGGCTCTGGGGAGACCACCTACCCGTAATGGTGGTGCCTCCATCGCTGATGGGTGGGTCCCAGCGGACAGTGACGACGTCATTCTGCGCCCCGGGGCTGGCGGGCACCAGCAGCGGCTGTCCGGGAGGATGCGGCCGCTCTGGAGGCAGGATAGAAGAGGTGGTGCTCTATGAGCGGGACTAGATCACTCACACCGCAACACTTTCGCGCGCGGTTCACCTCAACGACCAAACAACGGCCCGCTCAGAGGTCGATCCTGGTGCCGGCGCCAGGGCGGCGTCTTGGCGGCCTGCTCCTGAAATAGCTTCCAGACGGGCATAAACAGAGTCCGCCACGCTTGCGCCGGGCTTGTAGTGCGCGCGCCGTTTGTTTTCAAGTAGACGAGTGAAACTTCCTGCAGCGATTCGCCTTTTATTTTCCCGCGACGTGGCCGACATAAGCTCGCATGCGCTGCACCACGAGCCTGGCTCGGCGAAGGCTGCAGTGCCAGACCGACGACGGGGCGGGGCGGGCCCCTCTGTGTGTGGAGCCTGATGAGCTCGGCGAGTATTCTGTCACAGCTTGACGGGCGGCGCTTCTTTGACGTCAATGAGTCGCCGTGGCGCTGGCGAGGCCGTGTCGCCCGTGTCGTTCGGTGTGCACAAGACCCGTGCGAACGCCTTACTACTGTACCTCGCTGGTGGTGCGCTCGACTCAGCCATCAGCGTTATGACACAATTATTTTGGACGCGACCGACTACTAACGACACCAATGAAGACAAACTCATTAAAGCGTGATGGCACTTGCACACACGGGCAGGAGGGGCGCCGAGGCGGGAGGCCCGTCTTGCTGCCCCAGCAGCTGGGCTAGCAGCGCCCCGCCCAACCCCACCCACCACGCATCCGCGGTTCCCCCGCTCGCCCCGCCCTCCGCGCTGTTCTGTCGCGCCGCGCGGCGTGCTTGCCATTGTGTTCGCGAGCAGCGTGCCAACCCCTTCTCCCCCTCCCTCCCTGCCGCCGGCGCCGCCCCAGCCCGCCCGCGGTGATGTCACAACCCCTCGTCGCGCCCCTCGGCGGCGGCGGCTGTGGCTCTGGCGGCGGCGCGGCCATCCCTTCCCGCGCTGACACGCCTGCTGCAGCTGGACCACGCCTGGGCTAGCGCTGCGGAGGGTGGGACCTGAGGGTGCAACCGCCCCGCTGCAAACGGAGTGGGTGCATGACATAATAAGGAACTCTGCCGGCGGAAGCGGCCCAGACGGATCGACCGGGGCATTTTGGCCATCGGCCACGTCGGCGGGATCCAACGCGCGTCCCAGGCGTAGCCTTGACACTCCGTGCTCCGCGCCGGCCGCGCCCGGGCGCGACGAGCGGCCAGAGATACCGCTGAGGGTTAGTGAGCTGTTGGTCCGTGGCAGAAGGGGGGGGGGGGGGTTCAGGTGGCAAGCACCGCGAGGCCTCGACTGCACGGGGCTCCGCCGAGACCGATCATATCAAAAGACGAACAGACGCATTTTGCCTCTTGCCTCTCTGTGATTGAATGGGCCAAGCTGTCGGGCGATCCTGGACAAGGCGTACGAGTACTACGCCCGCATTCTGCCATTTTCTGCTGGCGTAGACGAGCACGCCGATGAAGGGCGACCTGGTGCCGTGGCGCAGGGAAGGGTAGGGGACAATGGCATTATATGTATCTTGGCAGGGGCCGAGCGCAAAGCCAGCAATCTTCCCTCAACGTGTGAGACAGGACTTTTATTTTTATCACACAGCGGGGGAAATATACCATTCGCACCGGGGCATCTCGCATCATCGGTGGGGCGTGGAGAACTGACTCTCTCGCGAAGAAACACACAACAGCACTCCCATGCACTCGGCCAGCCTCGCCGACGTGCAGCGGCCACCACGCCACGCGGGCCGGGCTCCGTGCAACCCCGTGTAGTACATCGCCATGACAGGAATAGCAAATCAGCGGGCCGCGCGCATCGGTTTCCCGCCCGACCCCGCCCGAAGCCCATGCTGCACTTACTGCACTTGTGCTCCACCGACACACGCTATCGACTGACCTGCCTCCTCCCAGTGCACGTTCTTCTTACTGCCGGCGCCGGCGTGTCGGTGGTATTTCGAATACTCTTTGGTCGCTTGGTTGCCCATGTCACCGCGCTACGGCGGCGGCCGCCAGGCCTGGCCGGCTCCAAGGAGTGCCTCGCGGTGGTGGCGCACGCCGCGGCGGCGCCCCGCCTCCGCCCGCCTCCGGGCCTGGTCACGAGGTCATGGTCGTGGAGGGCCCGCCTGGCCCCGGCCCGCCCTCCCGCGCGCGTCCATGCGTAGGGCTCCCCTGGGTGTCTGCTGGGGCTGCGCCTGGCTGGGCCGGAGGGCGGTCGGCGCGAGACTACGCGCCCAGCTAAGCTTGTGACTCTCCCCCGCCCCTCCCCGCCCAGGAGTCTGGATATAGCTCGGGAGGAGTGGCGGGGCGCTGTGCGTCGCGGGCGGGGGAGGCGCAAGGGGGCGCTCGCACCGGGGCCGCTTGCCGCTCGCTCAGCGCCGAGCATTCTCACTCTTTTCCCCTCCCTTTCGCCCTCACCTCCTCTCGCAACAGACAGAGATGAAAACGTCTCTCTTCGGGAGGTTTGGATGGCTGACTGCGCATTGGGTGATGGGGGCCAATTTTGCTCGCAGCCACGCGGACTCCGCTGCTCTAGACACTAGACGGTGCCCAAGTCCTTCAAGCATTTGGGCGGCGAAGAGGGTTTCCATGATCCATGAGCAGCAAGCCACGAGGAAAAGAACAACGAAACGAGTCAGGGAGGCCCTTACTTCCCCCTATTTTCAGGACCTGCCGGGTGACCGTTGCCCAGGACGCGGAAAGGGGTGGTGGTGGGGGTAAAGGGGTGCAGCTCGCGGCGCGGCGCCCGTGCGGAGATACTCCTGCGCTGCGGGGCCGCCGTGGGGCGTCGGCCAGGTGTATCCGCGGCGGCGGGCGGCTCGGAGGGCGCTCCCTCTGGTGGCCGCCGCAGCCACTAGGCAGAGAGAACCGGTATCTGACCGGACCGGATCGGGGATGCTGAGCGCCGCTGCCGCCGCCGAGCCGCGCCGCGGTCCACACGCCACGCCGCCCCGCGGCCGCTACCCGCGCGGCCCGCGGCCGGCCGTACGCAGAGCAGACGGTGCTGGGATAGGTTGGGACCGGAGGCGGGGCGGGGTGGGGCGGTGCGGGGCGGGGCGGGGCGGGGCGGGGCGGGGCGCGCTGTATCGGACAGAACACATCTCCGCGGGAGAACCGTTCTCACTGCAGAGCAGCTGAGCGCGCGGTGCGTGGGCCGCCCACCGAACTGGCGATTATCGCTGGCAGGCCGTCATTACTGCTGGGGCGCGGCGCGCGCCTCGCTGGAGCGGCTCAAGACCCGCGGCTCCAGCCCCGCGCGTTCAGGTCCCCGCCGCCGATGAGCCGAGCCGGGCCGCCCGCGACCCCCGCCGAGCAGCGCGCGCGCCTCAGACATGGCCACCAAGCGGGAAAGGCGCGCGCGCGCGCGGGTCCGATTTCCCCTCTCCATTTTTCATGTAATAGCGTGGAGGGGCTGCGGCATAAGCCTCTGCGGAGGGCGTGTCCAGGGCCGGGCCGGGCAGCCGCTGCCGCCGCTGGGACTCGCATCGCACACGGGCGGAAACAGGTCCACATTCTCAGTTTGGCCGTGAAAGTGGGGCGCAGCGCGGCAGCGCAGTCCGTCGCGTCCTGATCGGCAGGGCGGCGGCGGCGGCTGTTTGGGGGGAAGGGGGGAGGGTGGGGGGAGAGAAAGGCAAGAATCGTTCCACCGGAGACGGGTGCGCCGGCCGAGAGCCCCGCCGACAGCTGACCATAACCACCTCAGTGCGCCGAAAGTTTGAAGCAAGTGATCTCGATCGCTCCAACTCCCTGGGGGTGGGCTACTGAACACCTCCCACACCCGTGTGACTATGCAACCCGCCCGCACAGCTCCATCCGGGACTGCATACCCTGGCGAAGCCCGGCTCTGAGCGGCAACGCTGAGCTCACCCACTGTTGTCGCACGCAACGCCAACGCCGGAAGCGCGAACCGCGAATCGCGAACCGCGAACTCCCAACGACGGGATCCACCGACCGCGATTTACCCCCGCAATATAACCGCGAGAAGCCCCCGCGAATAAACAGCTCAAGCCTTTCCCGGGATCTGCGTGGTCGCATTACCTCCACGAAACCGCGGACCGCGCCCCAACGCGTTGCACCTGATCCTGGGCAAGGGCAGGGTGTGCAGTGCAGCGCCGGTTGGAACCGTGAGGCTTTCTGCTGGTTGCGAACTTTACGTGGTGGTCACTGCTCTGTGCGCGCCGTGCCCCTTCGGAGCAAACGCGTATACTAGCCCGAATGCAGACGTGCGGGCGGGTTGCCTATCCACACGGGACCAAGACGCGCCGTCTTCTAGAGACGATAGACAAACCCGTCCGCATGCGTGCATGCGGAACAGTATACAGTATGCGTTTGCCCCAACGTTTGTCTACGAGTTCTGGCGACGACGACACCGGAGACCAGGGTTTATGTAGAGATCCCCACTCAATCCCATCCCTACGTGGAAGTCGGTGTTAGTAGTGAAATAGGCGTGACACGGGTATGGACTTAAAGTGTGCCTTTTGTTTTCTATTCCCTTTCTTCTTTATGTACTAACCAATCGTCCCAACCTTCGAGGATATTTACCTTTCCCCATATGGCTTTTGTCCGGCTCGTGCCTTCCCGTCTGGAGCTCTCTGTGGAGCCCCACGCCACGCCAGGATACAGAAGGACGCTCCCTGTAAGGTGTGAACCAGCAGCCCCTCACTCTTCACACCCAACGAGCTCCCGCCTCACTAAACGACGCGGCAATCAAGTGCGCCTCTCTCCCGTCTCCTCCCCCTCCTCGGACCCCCTCATCCTCACCCGCCTCACGGTGCCGCTCCCCGACGCGACGCCGCCGGCCGGGAGCGAGCGAGCGCCCCTCTCGCGTCCAGCCGCGCCTCCGTCGGGACTCTCCACCAGCTCCAGAGGGGCGGACAAGCAGCCGGGGCAGGGATAATCACATCGTACATGAGTGTGTGTGTGTGCGCCCCGCGCAGCCGTGAGGCGTGAGTCCGTATGCCTGACCCGACCAAAGAGAATATGCCTCGAGGCGCATGAGCTCTTCTATTTATATGGAACCTTCCACCATACTCAGGTGAGCCGATGGAGTGGAATGTTTAGGGTGGATATGGATGACGACTTGAAGAGTGTTCGGCGGTTTTGCTGACCGCTTTGGCACGAGTGGACGTGAGTCATCCTGATCACCGAGTAGAAAGGAGAAACGAGTAAAGAGGGGGTCATAAATCAAATACACAATAAAGCAGTGCTCTCCTAGTTAAAGGGAAGAATGGTCAGTTGCGGCGCCCTCCTCGCCGCTTGGTGTTTCGTGTTTACACTCGTAGTCCCCGTTGTCCTGCCGGCGCCAGGACGGCGTCGTTGGGGCCATAGCCTGGCGGCGGTGCAGGGGGGGAGCCTTGGGCCTTAGGGGGCGTAGGGGCGCAAGCAAGACGTGGCCGGGCCAGGCAGGTAGCAGGTAGCCGGGCAGACGAGCAGCCAGCCTAAGGGGCCCCCTTGCCCCCCCTGGCCCCGGCCCCCTCCCCGGCGCGGCGGGTCCGGGGCGGAGTGGAGCGCTGCCGGCGGAGCCCGGCCCCGGCCAGAGCCAGAGCCAGACGCGACGCCCGGCCT